AGATAGATAGATAGATAGATAGATAGATAGATAGATAGATAGATAGATAGATAGATAGATAATGGCTTAGCAAAAGGCATTTCAAAAATAACATTAAAAATTCTCTCATTCACTATATTTCTACTAAGAGTTGAGCATTTATGTGTTTCCATGGAATGTGTAGAAAATGTGACAGATAATATTTGTTTATTATAGGATAAACATGCTGTTGGCTTAGCAAGGGTATATCAGTAATAAGATATGGATGCAGGAATACAAGTCTTCAGAAAATGATTTTTAAAAGAAAAGAATTAGAGCAGAGACATAATCAGTAATATGATATGGATGCAGGAATACAAGACTTTTTTCTCTCTTCATTAATTTACTTATTTGTTCATTACATCCCAATCACAATCCCACTCCCTGCTTTATTTCCAGTCCCACCCTCCCATTCACTTCCTCCATACTCCCTTGCCCCTACTTCTCCTTCCCCAGGTACCAACTCACACTGGCACATCAAGACACATCAGAACTAGGTGCTTGCTCTTTCACTAAGGCAAGGTAAGTCAGCCCTGCTAGGGAAGTGGGATCCAGAGAGAGGCAACAGCACCCATGTCAGAGACAACCCCTGCTCCAATTGTTGGGGACCCACTTGGAACTAAGCTGCACATCAGCTTCATATGCATAGGGGGGCTAAGATCAATCCATGCATGTTCTCTGTTTGCTTCAGTCTCTATGAGCCACTATGGACCCAGGCAAATTGACTATGTAGGTCTTTTTGTGGTGTCCTTGACCCTTCTTGTTCTGACAATCCTTCCCCTAACTCTTTCAAAAGACTCCTTGAGTTCCACCTAATGCTTGGATGTGTTTCTCTGCATCTGTTTCCGTTTTCAGCTGGATTAAGCCTCTCAGGTAACAATTATATTAGGTTCCTGTGTGCGAGTAGCAGAGTAATATTAATGGTGTCATGACTATGGTGGGTCTACCATGGTGTGGGTCTCAAGTTGGGAATGTTGGCCATTCCCTCAATCTCTGTCCCATCTTAAAAAAAGAAAAAAAAAAAAAAAAAAAAAAAAAAAACATGGAGCACTTCATAAATTTGCATGCCATCCTTGCTCAGGGGCCATGCATGCTAATCTCTGCATTGTCCTAAATTTAGTCGATGTATTGCTGAAGTGAGCACAGGAATACAGTCTTGAGAAAATGATTTTCAAAGGCAAAGAATTAGGACAGATGCACTAAAGTTTATTTAAAAATAGGATTAGATCGAAGAGCTGAGGTACAGGGAAGAAAGAATGACAGAGCTCCCCAACCTAGCTTCGAATAAATCTTAAGAAATAATATTATTAGTGGATGTTGTAGGCATTATTATAAATTGCATAGAAATTTGTTATTTAAATACTCAAATAATAATCTGACTCCAAAATCAGCAGTCGAAAAGAAAAAAAAAATCTGCCCAGTTTCTCCTATCATTTTTTATATTTGTGTTTTTTCTTAACACATTCCACTATTTAAAAAAGCTTATTTTTGTATTCTTCTTGTGGTAGCTTTGGATAGTCACTGATGCACAAAATGTCAGAGGATATTTGGATAATTAATGCTGAGCACATTGACAGTGTTTAAATCTGAGAATGGGAAAGGAAAAGGACAAATCCCATGAAGAAAAAGATATGGCAGAGACCCCTCTTAGTGCCCCTGTTGTTATTGGAAAGAAAATGGGAAATACTGTAATATTGGAACCTATAAATTTTTTATGAAATTCTTCTTCTTGGTGCCAGGATATAAACCTAGTGTGGCATGGAGAATTCTGAATGATTTCTGATCCATAAAATATCATAAGCTTCTACCAGTCATGGGGTCTCTTTCTTGACCCCAAGAAACTAAGGCTGTGATGAAAAGGATGGCTGTGGATAACCTTGTCAATATGGTCCCACAATATAGACCTAGTGCAGTTTTCTATCAACTTCAAATTTTTTTTTCCTTCAGAGTAACTGCACTGATAACAATTAATAACATATATTTTTTCAGGCTGTTGAGAATTACTTTAGTTATTTGAAATATAAAGTAGTAGAACATTTGATAAAAGACTAAGAATTTTTTTGGTTATTGATAAATTCAAGCACAAGACTTAGGTCGCAATTGTTTTAGGAAAAATTAGCATTGAGAGAGAAGTCAGTTTTTTGTATATTGATATTCTATTTATGATCATTTGGAAATTATTTTTCACTAAAATTATATGGAGTTAATTGTATTATGTTGATGAAGATGCAAGTTTCTAGTCAATAAGGTTTTCCTTAGCAGTTTAGTGTGATAAAACTCTCTGACAATGAAACTTTGTTATGAGCAATAATAGAACATTTTATTATTCTGTCCTCAAGTGTAAGCTGTGCAAATCTATTGAAAAAAAGAAAACCACTAAATTTCATAAAGGCATTCGAGAACTTTTATAAATATTTTTAGATGGTATAGAATATATACCAAATATGCATTAATAAAGAAAAATACCCAAATTATTTTTGTGATTAGCTTCTCTGGGCCGTGGGTTAATAACTGAAATTTGTTTAGAGTCTTCATTAGAATTTTTATTGCAAATACATTTGCCCTTTGGAAACAAAATAATACAATTTCTGCCTCTAAATAATATTTAGAAGGCAAAAAATGAGCACATTTTGTGTAACATATACTACTGAGTAATGTAAGATGATTTATTAAAAAGTGTCCATAAATAAAATAGATTATTAATTCAATAACACTTCATTCTCAGCTAAGAAGTAATTGATACATTTTTAGACTCCTCTTCTTTCTCAAATGTTAGATTTGTCCTGGAAAATAATCTGAAAATTGACCTTGCTTCATGGTGTAGGAGTGAGCTTATGTGTATAACTGTACATGAGAAAACTCACTGTTTATATCTAGCTCTTGTTACAGAATTGAGCCACATATTAGTTCTTTCTCTATTATTTGGATGTTGCTATGTTAGCCATTTTTCTCTTCTACCCGATTGTGGAATTGGAAAGTAGAAATAGACATGTGTCCGAATCAGAGAGAAGTAAGGCCACTAACATTATACCTGCCCAACATACTTCTTCCTCAAATGGGATACATGTGAAAATCCTGGAGCCTTCATCAGAATGTAGGATAGTTGACTTGATTTCATATTTATATTTTCTCTTCTTGCCATCTTTTAAAATTTATTTACTTTTTTACTAATTAGAGTTTACATACTTTGTATTCCAGCTGTAGACCCCTCCTTCGATTTCTCCCTATCCCACCCTTCTTACCTTATCCCCTTCTTTGCCCCTCTCCAAGGGCACTGATAGGGGACTGATCCTCTTATGCTCCACCCCTGCCCTCTGAACTTGCCTATCAGGTCTCATCATGGCTGGCTGCATTGTCTTTCTCTGTTGAATGGTAAGGCTGCTCCCCCATCTGGGGGAGGTGATCAGAGAACCAGCCACTGAGTTCCTGTCGAGACAATTCCTGTTCCCCTCACTAGAAATCCCACTTGCAGACAGAGCTGCCATGGGCTACATCTGAGCAGGGGTTCTAGGTTATATCCATGAATGGTCCTTGATTGGAGTATCAGTCTCAGAGAAGACCCCTGTGACCAATTTTTTTGTTTCTGTTGCTGTTGTTTTTGTTTCTGTTGTCCTCCTATCCCACCCCTGAAGCCGAAAAACACTTATGGTCAATACTCACTTATAAGTGGATATTAGACATATAATATAGGAGAATCATACTAAAATCTGTACACCCAAAAGCTAAGCAAGAAGGAGGACCCTGGGTAAGATGATCAATTATCACTAAGAAAGACAAATGGGATGGACATTGGAAGAGGGAGAAAATGGGGAAAAGGACAGGAGCTTACCACAGAGTGCTGTTGAAAGACACTACCCAGCAAGGTATCAAAGCAGATGCTGAGACTCATAGCCAAACTTTGGGCAAAGTGCAGGGAATCTAATGAAAGAATGGGAAGATAGATATACATCCGGATGGGACAGGAGTTCCACAAGGGGAGCAACAGAATTATATTTGCATTTCCAAATGTATTTCTGTATTCGACAATAATATTTCCTATGTTCACATCTGCTATGGAAACACACAATTCATTTTTGCTGTGGAGATGCACCAGAAGGAGCTACAGTTCCTGCATTATTACGAGGGGCTCAGTGAAGACGTATTCTAATTCAATGGCAATTTGAACAAGTTACACTTGTATAAATGTTCAGTGAATTCACTTGTCCAAAACCCTTCCAAACTTTCTGCAATTATTTATTCCAAAGTAGTGTGTAGAAAATACATTACTAATTTATAAATGAAATAAACAAAATTATTTTAATATAGTTTAGATTACATGAACAACATTAAATAATGTTAAGTCCACTTCCACTTATTGTCTCAAAGACATAGGATAATTTGATAGTTAGAAAAGTAGTACAACCTCAGTGTCATTTTGATTTGCATTTATCAGATGACTAAAGATGTTGAGCATTTCTTTCTTTTTAATTGAATTTTTATTTTTATATAAATTACAGTTTATTCGTTTTGTATCCCAGCTGTAGCCCCGTCTCTCATTTCCTCCCAATTCCACCTTCCCTCCCTCATCTCCTCCCATGCCCATCTCCTAGTCCACTGATGGGTGAGGTCCTCGTCCCCTTCCCACTGACCCTAGCCTATCAGGTCTCATAAGGACTGGCTGCATTTTCCTAAGTGTTTAGCTGCCTTCAATATTCTTCTCTTGAGAATTCTCTGTTTAGCTCTGTACCCCATTTTTTAGTTACTTGATGGTTTTTTGTTTGTTTGTTTGTTTAACTTCTTCAGTTCTTTATATATTCTGGATATTAGCCCTCTGTCAGATGTAGCGTTGGGGACAATCCTTTCCCAGTCTGTAGGCTGTTGTTTTGTTTTGATGACAGTGTCCTTTGCTTTACAGAAGCTTTTCAGTTTCATGGGGAACCATTTATTGATTATTGATCTTAGAGCCTGTGAGATTGGTGTTCTGTTCAGGAAGTTGTCTCCTGTGCTAAAGAGGTCAAGACTCTTCCCCACTTTTTCTTCTAGCAGATTTAGTGTATTTGGTTTTATGTTGAGGTCTTTGATCCACTTGGAATACTTTTGTGCAGGGTGATGAATATGGGACTATTTGTATTTTTCTACATGTAGACGTCCAGTTAGACCAGCACCATTTGTTGAAGATACTATGTTTTTTCCCTTGTATGGTTTTGGCTTCTGTATCAAAAATCAAGTTTCCATAAGTATGTGGGTTTATTTTTTGGTCTTCTATTTAATTCCATTGATCCATCATTCTGTTTCTACGCCAGTACCATGCTGTTTTTATTATTGGTACTCTATAAGACAGCTTGAGATCAGGAATGGAGATACCTCCAGTAGATCAGCTATGCCTCTCCTAGTCATATATCTGAAAGATGCTTAGCCACACAACAAGTATATTAGCTCCACTATGATCATAGCAGCTTTATTCAGAATAACCAGAATTTGGAAATAGTCTAGATATCCCTCAACTGAAGAATGGATACAGAAATTGTGGTATATTTACACAGTGGAATATTACTCAGCAATTAAAAACAAGGAAATCATGAAATTTGCAGGTAAAGGTGGGAACTAGAAAAGATCATCCTCAGAGAGCTAACCCAGAAGCAGAAAGACACATATGGTATATACTCATTTATAAGTGGACATTAGCTATACAAAATAGGATAAACATACTAAAATCTATCGTCCTAAAGTAGCTAAACAGCAAGGAATACCTTGGGGAAGAGGATGAAACCTCACACAGAATGGCAAATGGGATAGATAGCGGAAGTAGAAGAAGACAAGGAATAAGACAGGAACCTTCCACTGGGGGCCTCTGAAAGACTGCCCATCAGGATAAGTGGGACTGGGAAGAGATTAGAGAATGGGGCCACAGCTTTGATACAAAGTAAATAAATTTTAATAAATAAGGAAATAGACAAATAGATAGACAGATACATAAATAGATAGATAGTGCCTTCTTTTAATTTAAACATGTATCTGAGGTAACAGGTTTTTTTTCTTTTTTTTTAATTTTAATTTTTTCGTATCAGTTACATTTTATTAACTCTGTATCAAAGCTGTATCCCACTCCCTCAATCCCTCCCAATCCTACCTGCCTCCCTCATCTCCACCCTGCCCCTTTCCAAG